CAGAAAGGCGGGGCATAGAAGAGAAACAATAATGTACAGTATGTGGAAAATAATGTGTTTTTTGAACCTTAAACTACATAAACACATTTCATTACACCAAATACAAAAAATAATATTTTTTTAGCAACATCATATGACCCCTTTAATACATTGTAAAATGTAAGTTATTTCTGCAATGCAAAGCTGAATTTTCACCATCATTACTCCAGTCTTCAGAGTCACAAAATCCTTTAGAAATCATTCGAATATGCTGATTTGCTGCTCAAGAATAATTTCTTATTAGTATCAAATTGTGCTGCTTAATATATTTGTGGAAACTGAGATACTTTTTTTCAGGATGAACAGAAAGTTCAAAAGAACATTTATCTGAAATAAAAATCTTTTGTAGCATTATAAATATTTTCACTGCACATCTGATCAATTTAATGCCTTTGCAGAATAAAAATATTAATTTCGTTAACAAAAATCTTATTGACCCCAAATTTTTTAACAGTATATATGTATACACAATTTATTGAATAAGTAAAAAAAAACCAAAAAAAAAACCCATTAGAACAAAGTAGAGGAAACCATCTTTCAGTATGTTTATAATCTGCTTTGGTGGGAAAAAAAAGAGAGAAAGAGAAGGAAATAAATTAAATTTCTGATACAGGCAAGGTGCATACTGCTATGCAAAAGGACTGTTTACTTAGGCGTTTCATTTCTGTGGTGCCACACTGAGCTTCATGATAACACTGGGCTTAATCTTTCAAGTTTACAGACTTCCACCCAACCGCATTTAATGCGGAAAATTACACCTGTCAGTGCAGAGCCCAGTTCATTAATGCTATTTCCAGATCTGTGGAGAAATGCGATTAAGAGTATGATGACACACAAGACTGCAAATCCACACTTAATTACGACCAGCGCGTTTTTTTCTTCTGCATCCATCAACGCGCTTTCCTATTTTCCAGATTAGTTTGAGCATGCAAATAAGACTCGGAAATGGACGAAACAACTTTTGGACGAAGACCCGCTTGGGTCACTAATTCAGTATTCTAACAGGAAGGAAAAAGTGAGATGCGCTGTTAACCATTTCCTATCGGGTAAGATTAATATGCTCAGTTAGGCTTGCCATAAGAGTTGAAATGCTGTCTAAGTTCAGTTTAAACAGCAATTGATCCTAACTCCCTCAGATTTGATGTTTAAAGCTGAAGAGTGTTACAATATTTTTTCCTATTCCTATTGGAGAAACTCGACAACAGTCATTGTTTTTGCATTTCTGCTTGATGACACAAGCAGAATGGAAATGAAGCACTTTGGCTTTACGTATCTGCTGCATATATTTCTTTGACAGCTTTTAACAACTTCAAAGTCTATTCCAAAGCACACTCTTAAATCCATCACACGGTATTAAAATCCTTCCTTTAATATCTCTGTTGATGTCCAGTTATCCTAATCCCAATATTACTATTTGATGAGTTGAGGAAAATCTTTATTTAAACACATTAGTCCATCACATGGTATTAAAATCCTTCCTTTAATATCTCTGTTGATGTCCAATTATCCTAATCCCAATATTACTATTTGATGAGTTGAAGAAAATCTTTATTTAAACACATTAAACATGTATAGTGACCCCAAAAGGAATTCGGACGCTTCTGAAAACTTAACTTAACTTAAAGATGTAAAACATCAAACATGCAAAACATTAAACCCTATGGTATCTACAAACAAATGCAGACAGAGCTTTTTTCAGAACTAACTTCACTTTCCAGTCAAGGCCCAAGGTCATTTTAGAAGATGTGTGAAGTCAGTAAAAAAAAAAAACCTTGCTGTGACATTCTGTTCTGTAATGCAAAGATCATCTGTGTTTCTCCAATGCCAGACACTGTTATGTCCCAGGGGTTGATTTTTATTAAAACTAAAAAAGTTTAACTTTTTTTTTCTTTATTGTCACACTGAAACTCTTTATTGTTTTACCCTTGTTCCAGAGCCAGACTTTCAATCTAAAAATATGAAAATTATGATTATAAAAATCATAAAAAAATATGAATTATTAACTGTGACGATCGAACAAACAGTGAAATAAAAATAAACCATGTCAATATTTATTGTGTAAAAATTATTTGTATTAATTTTTCAAAAACTGTGGCTGCCCTTTAATTTTTCATCTAAATTTTTTTTTTCTCAAAAAATGTGTGTACTTGTTTACCAATGAAACAACAGTGTTAGTAAAGAGCTTGAGATGAAACCAATGAAATAAAACTAGAGTGTGAAAAGTGTTTTAAGACACTTTTTACACTTTTTTTCAGATTTTTTAAAGGTCCACAGGACCAAAAGTGCCCATAATTGAAGAAACACACTCATACATTCACAGTCTCGCTTAAGTGGCCTAATTCTTTTTTGGGAGATATTACAACATTACAAAGGTCCTGCTCTGTCTGCAGTGAAATAATAAAAACATCTCTAATGAGCTGCCTCGTTTTGTCCAAATTTTGAGTGAGGACCTTATTAGATAGGTACTGTACATGTTACTGTTTTTTCCCCCCGCTTTGGTTCTATTTTCACAAGTAAGGTGTATATTTTCAAAACTCTTAGTACAAAAATCCAAACTGATCACACTTGTAACATCACCAGTCATTCTTTTAAAAACTGATCTCATGCTTTCATTACAATTATACATGTTGTCAATCAACACAATCATTGTTTCAAAACATAAGATTATTGTAATATATATTGAGAGCATTTGATTTAATCACCAAAACACGACAGGATTGTCATGTTAAAAAATACACTTGCACGATGATTGTTTTGTACACTGTAATGGATTATAAGATAACTAACAAACTGGTAAAATTTTAAAATAGTTTTCCCTTAAATCAATATCTTTTATCACCATAATTATTTATGTGGTGAAATGTTGTGTAATAAGTGGTATGACTGCACCGTATCCCTTAAATGTCCGTCTAGTTTGAACTTGCCGCTTGCTCGCAACTGTTTCGCGTCGGGGTCCTGATCACCCTGTCGGGGGTTATTCTGCGATAACAACCGGCTGGATGTACATTATCCCTTATGTAATGTGCAGATAGTAATGCCATCTGTCTCCATCCATCTCTGATCAGTTCCTCTCCCTTGTATCCTGCTGTATGTTCACAAATTGCTAAATATTGTACTAAGACAATTGAAAATAAGCTGATTATTTTTTTTTTTTAAGTGCACTTTTGATGATCTGTTGTGATATTAGTACTAAAAGTTATTTTTATTATTATTATTTAACAGTTGCTTGTGAAAATAGTACCAAAGCAAATTTAAAAAAAAACTGTAATAGACAAAGCTGAGAGGAACAACAATATCTGAAGCACTCAAATTCTTTATAAATACATTACCAGGACAAACTTCAGTTGAAACTGAGGATGGGCTAGTTTATGGTAACTGACCTCTGTCCATAGCTAGACTCCTTATGGCGACAATGCAGGGTTACAATCCTGTGACCTTCTGTTCTGACATCTTGACTAACCATCCAGAGTGTTGGGTTACTGGGTCGAGCGCCAAGGAACGCCACTCCATCTTTTAACTTCACCCTGCAGTGTAGAGAAAGACAAAAAAGAGAAACCTCAATGCGCTACAGTAAATACATCCCAAAAGCAAATATCATTCAGAAAGTTGAATGCATCTTTAAGCATTTTTGACATTACTGAGTGTTTCACTGGTTGAATCCGGTATCATCTTTTAATGTACATACATAAGGGCCAATGCAAAAAAGCCCAGTTAAGGCATCTGTGTAGTTATTGCAGCACTTTCCATTTCCAAAGCATTCACTTATGCCAGCAGATTAACAACTGTGTCAACTGTGCAGACCACTTTCTACAGGACCTATCACTCTCCACTATCTCTCTCTGCATTACACTAAATGAAAGATTTCTATGGAGCTGACTGAGTCCTGCAACTGCTGAAGTGCTTTAGTCTCTCCTCTATGGCCTACTGGAGAACCATCCACATTCATATTGAGCATTTAACCAGACACCTGATTATAACTATTATAAGCTTTCATTTTTGCCAGCTCAAGAGCTCTCATAGTTAAGTAGAGCCTGTAGCAGATTTTGTATCCACCACTTGAGTTGTGGATAATCTACTCAGAGTTAAATCTCATTTTACTCACTATAAATAAAATCACTTTTGAATGATCTTATGATCAAATTAAGATAAAAAATTAACATTCTGACACATGCAGATAAATGCATTTTATCAATACATAAAATGAAATTAATAAAATTACATGCATTTTATTAATAACTCAAATTAATCACTACAAATTCCATGAATTTAGGCATCACAACATTATAATGTAGAGTATGAAAATAATTTTGGTAAAACAATTCTCAAAATTAATGTACAAATACGCACAAGTTTGAGGTCAGTAATATTTATTTATGTTACATGCTTCATTTATTGTTGTTTCACGTTGAAGACTCTTATGCCCACCAAGGCTGCATTTATTTAATCAAAAATATAGTAAATATTGTAATATTGTGAAAAATTATTGCAATTTTAAATAACTGTTTTCTGTTTTAATATATTTTTAAATGTAATTTAGTCTTTACTCCAGTCTTCAGTGTCACATCATTCTTCAGAAATTATTCTAATATGCTGATTTGATTCTTAAGAAACATTTCTTGTTATTATCAATGTTGAAAGTTGTGCTGCTTAATAGTTTAGTGACAACCTTTTTTTCAGGATTCTTTGATAAAAAAAGAAAGTTAAAAAAACAGCATTTATTTGAAATAGAAATCTTTCGTAACATTATAAATATGTTTTTTTGCCGTGCATGCTGCTGTGTGCCAACTCTTTTCCCAGTGAAAATAAAGCGGGAACTCATGGTTAACATGTACTGTGCACAATGGCCTTAAGAGTTTCAGCGACTAATAGGATTCAATAATCCAATACTGTGCACACATAAAAAAACATACAAAGGAATAATAGTCAAACTGAAAGAGCTACTGAGGAGAAAGGCGGAGAATTTAGGCCAATTCACCCAGACACACTAGCATGTCATCGGTAATGAAAAAGCAGAGTGGATGTGAGCTTGAATAGATTCCATTCTCCCCGTGCTATGAACCGCTCAAGGCCAGCAGAGGTAGAGAGCAACAGAGGTACGGGCCGACCACAAGCCGGTAATAGGATGACAAATGTCCGACAAACAGCCAATAAAAAGACTCGGTTGGGGGTGGGACAGCATTAGCATGTGACAGGGGGCCATAATTGACCCAGGGGAGATAACAGATGGAGAGGGACCCGAAATGAGAGAGGTCTTGCTTGGCCACACAGTCCTTGCAGACCGGTCCTATGATTCATAATTGGTTTCACCATTGGGCGTCAATGCGCGTTTGTTCGAGCACACAGTGCTTCATTAAATTTGTTAAAGCTGGTCTATGAACAGATGTGGTCAGATGGAGAATAATGAGCTGAGTGATGGCAGAACAGTTCTGAGAACAGGATATATCAACAAATATGAGCGTCTTGCTATAGTTTGCTAACGTTTATCTTTACTCTCCCGTCTCGAAAGACTAGGGCAAAGGACAACTGGTCTCTGACCAACATGCTTAAAGTTTAAAGGGTGGCAGACTGTGGTGTCACAGTAGATCAACTCATTACAAGAGTAACATATTCTCGGCAGAAGCATAATACCCCTGTGGCTGAACCCGAGTCTGCAGCTGATGCTTTTTGCATACTCTACAACTCCTTTAAAACTGTCTGCAGCTCACATACTATCACAGTACAAGAACATGCTAAATCCATGCAGATTGTAACAGACTATTTTTACATTTTCAGGTTGAAACCTAATGCTTATACAAATGAACTTAAAGTGCCTTTACCTCACCTAACAAGAACCAACAGTGTTAAAGCTGAATGTGAAGAGATAAAAAAAAATGAAACTCACAAGATTTCAAACATTTCTGTACAAACGCACAAACCAGCAATGACTAATTTGCCAAAATAAACCAATATTTACTGCCAGAAGTGAAAATATATCTGATCTATAATGTATTGTTGTTTTCCCCCCATTTTACCATAATAAAGGATGCAAATTTGAGGATTAAATGTGAATAAAAGGAGAAAGGAAAGCCTCTTTCAAAAAAGACCAAGGGTGAGATGTGAGTGAGGATTTGGGAAAAGAAACAAGAGATTCCATGTTTACTCTAGAGGACATTTTTTTTTTATTTGAACATTTTTGAGCAGCTTGCAACAGAACACACAGCCAACATATGGCTTTAATCCAAATTAAAAGGCTCACAGTGTTATTTTAGTATCACTGAGACATTACTAGTTTTTAATACATTGAATTAGTATTCATTTTTATATTTTCATTTTAATGTTTTTTTTTAAAATAATTTTGTTGTGGTTTTTTCCATTATTATTCATTGTATTTTTTTTTAAAGAAGTTAAACTAAATAAAATTGTGAAATGGTGCATTTGCAACAGTTTATTTTTTATTTTTTTATAAAAAACTCACATACCTCTCATTTGACACAAACACATCCACATCACATTCATGATGTAACATTTGGTTGCTAAACTATTATTTCTTTTGAAAACATGACTTTGTACTTCACTTGTGCCCCAATATCTGTGTACAACAACCTTGACGTGCGCTGGGGCGGTGGTCACACTGACAGGCACAGCCCTACTGTACACTCTACTGTACTGTGTACTGATATGTGTGTGTGTGTGTGTGTGTGTACATGCATATTTGTGCATTCCTGACATTAAATGCATTATATAAGTTGCTATGGAATACAAGTTGCAGCACGTCTCAGATGATACTCAAGTTTTAACTGGGTCAAAAAAGCACTCAAGTTAAACTAATTGCATTAAACATAAATGTAACCTATAATACATTTTTATTTAATTGCAAATAACATGCATATTTTAAAAATGTCAGACAAAGTCAGTTTACAACTTGGCTGCATAACTGAAACGCCATGAGCAAAGATGGCATATTTCAAATCACATAATTCCAAGGGTCCTGCACGAGCTTCTTCCACTGAGATTAATGTGAATACGAAAAAAAAAAATAAAAAATAAAATAAGCATATGTTTCATAATGTACTCTTTAATAAATCTCAAAATTCTATATCTAACTGAAGTTAGCTGAGAAACTGAAGTTCACTGAAAAATATATGGTGCATGATTTATAGAAATTGCTATTAGATTTCACAAATAATTACAATGATCACATTGTGATATGAGAAATTCTGAAGTAAAATTTCTTGTAAAACTTCAATTTCTTGCCCAATAATTATTTTTACAGCATTGGTACTGCCAAAAGCTTGCTGAATATTTTCCCATTCTTTCAAACGCACCTGCAGACTGATTTTAGAGGGATTTAAGGAGTGTACAAACCTTTGATGGCCAGCTTGTGTTGTTACAGAAGACTGCATTTATATCACAAACTCAAATAGTGCACAAGCAGTGAAATACTGTCTCTGCAAGACTGCATAGCTTTTAAAATGTAAATTCACCTGAAGCAGAAAATAAAGTTAGGAATATAGTTAAAGTAAAACAAAGAATAAAACAGGTAACAAAAACAAACGGGGCTATGTGTCTATATATACAGTAAACATGCTGTGTAAATAAATCTAAATAAGTTCAGGTAAAACAGCGTAAATTAGAAATGTGCAAAGCAATAAGTTACTCAATATATAACAGCTATTGTATGCAAAAAGTACAGCAGTGTGAGGAGGCAAAGATGTTAAAAGTCCATTACAGATATAAAATCTGTGTTCTGTGATACTTTCACTTACTCTGGCTGTTCTAGCTTTGATTATGAACAGGTGGTTTAATTCAGAAAGACGGATCTGTGTCCTTTTCATACTGAAAGTGTAAATACCCTGAAAAAGGTTCAAGAGCCCATTAGCGGTCCCTGTTCTGACACACGCAGAGTGAAATGGTCGTTCAAAGAGAGTGAATGGCTGCTGTTAGAGCATGCCGCTGAAACATCCGATCGCTGTGAGATGTTTGTGTTTCTCAGTGTGAACAAAACTAAATGGAAAGCAACAGCACCCCTCATGAAGCTTTCTTTCATAGAATTATTAATGCTTCACCTATTTGTGCTCCTCTCGCTCTCGCTCTCTCTTGTGGATTCCTCCATACATAATGATGAGATAAGTGAGATGGGAAGTTGCTCCCCAGGTAACAGTATGAGAAAATAAAAACACCAGCATAAAATTCAATAAGTCTTGTGTCTGAGTGCTCCTGGGAGCCCCTCTCTGGCGGTCCCCTGCCTGTGAGTTAGTGACTCACGCTGCACACATGCACGTTCGCCATGGTTACATTGAAATAGCTTAACTAACCAGACTATAGTCATTTACAATTGAAACACAAACAATTTCTGATAAAGTAATAGATACCATGATAATAAACTTATAATTAGCAGTATCACACTCACAATCGAGTGGTTGATCACCTCACAGCAGTTTACACAACACAAAAATTCATTCAGCAGTTAAATAAACAAGAAGTAATTATTGAGTAACTTACGTTTAAACACAACATTGCCTTTTATTTTGCCCATTTTTTCAAC